GGGACTCTATGCCGGAATGCACCGGCATCGTTGGAGATGAGATGGTATGAGGGGGAAAGAGAGAGTGTCGGACGATGTTTAGAGAGAGAGAGAAGTTGGGGAGGAATCTTTGCGGTATCTGAAGCGGGTGTGGGGTTCGGTTTGGCCTTTTATGCGAATAAACAAAAATTAATGTGGCATGATTCAAATAAATTTATATTTAATATCAATTAAAAAAGAGTTCTAATGAATCAAATTATATCGCTCTTTGTGTCATACTTCATCAAAATCATACACTTCACATTTCAAATTAAAATACATATTATTACTATTATACATTTATTTATTTGATTTTTAGTTTTCTCATGAATAAAATGTTTCTATTACATTTTAAATCAAATTAATACCTACTTTTTTTTTTATTTCTTAAAACTTTGGAGAGAATAAAATAAAACAAAAAAAAAAACACCTGGACAGAAATTATAATGCGTATCGCTATCGATCGAGACTGTTATAGCTAAACGACGAACTAACGAGCTTGAGGCGTGCGTGCGTGCACCTGAATGCTAATCCGTCTAGTTGCAGAGCTGCTGTAAATAGCAGTGAAAGCATCTCAACACAATTCTAGATGATTGTTAATTTAAACTGGAGCTTAAATAACTTTATCTAATTCGAGTTTGAACTAGGCTTAATTGTAAGGATTTAAACCAAATTTTGAGTTGTTATTTATAATAAAATAAAATAAAAATGCCACTCAAATTCGAGTGGCTCTTATAATATAATGATTTAAACCAAAGAGAAAAGAAGAGAATTAGGGAAATTCAATTGAGATAGAATAGAAATGAAATAAAATTTAATTTTCTTAACAACTTCATACTTAAATTCTTAAAATATTAATCTATTCTAAAGAGGCACATATACCTCCAAAACAAGCAAACAATAGCAATCAAAATTCAAAACAATGCTTATTATTAAAAAAAACATATTATGCTTTGATGGATTAAGGAAATGAAAACTTTATATTCAGTGTATACAACAGGTAAAACTCACAATCTTTTATTACAATTAAGAAAAGTGAGAATTCAATTCGTGGTATTAAAAATATATAGGCAGCTCGCAATCAATCTTTAATACAAAAAAGGAATAATAATAAAATTCAGAGCTATTTGAAGTTGTTTTTGTTGGGAACATCTAGCCTCTGCCTGAAGTCTTCTTCCATGAGGGGCAAACCATCTCTAAGAACGACCTTAGGCTCCCAGCCGAGTAAATTCTTGGCCTTGGTGATGTCGGGTTTCCTCTGGCGCGGATCATCAGGAGTGTTCTCCACTATTTTCACACAAACATCCGGGTTTATCAACTGCAATTCAACATATCAAATTTGTTCAAAAACCTCACTCAAAAAATCGGGCATGTTTATGCGTATGCCAGCTAGGGGTGAAGAGACAAGAAGGATATGTCAATTAGGGATCAAGAAAATGAAAACGGCCTAAGAATAGTTTTGTTCGGGTATGTCAAACAAGTAAGATTGTAAGCAAAGATGTGCCAATGAATGAACAACATCGTGCTTATTTCTATAAGGCTCCTTTACATAATTGAACAAGTTCGAACACATTAAAAAAATCCTCATATAAATGAACAAGCTTGAACAATAATTTACTTGTTCATTTATATTCACAAACATCCTCGATTGTTGTTAAGCAAGCATATCATTTAGAACTCAATAAAATACTAATTTTAAGACGGCTTAATTATCTATTTGATGACTAATTTTATGTCAATGTATCAGCTTTTTCAGATCTTATGCATGTAAAACATAAATATTATTAGAGGTAGAGGTAAGATAAAAATATCATATAATTAGCTAGGTATGTGCATTTAAATAACTTCATATTAATTTTTAAACTTCACAAATAACAGGGCAATAATTAGCTTAAACATGACTCCATTAATATTTTCTCAAGATCATTCAAGCCAATAATTAATCAAGTTCGAACTCTTTTTTAAATTGACAGCTAAATGGACGAAGTTGAACAAAGTTTAACTCATTTATTTATGTTCATGAATAATTTTTATTGTTCAAAAAGTAAATTGTTAAACACTTGAAACTAAGCTCGATAACAACTATTATATTATTTAAATAGAATTTGGTTAATATCACTCAATTCTCAAATTCTAAGAATAATTTTGTCAAAGAGTGTCAGGCAAGTAAACATGTAAGTAAACAAATGCACTTAATGAACAGATATGAACCTTCTGGTAACTTTTTTTATTTTTTAAACTTCACAAAACAATAAGGCTATAAGTGAATCAATGCAGTTAATAAATAGCTTGAACTTGGCTCAACTAATATTTATTCAAGATCATTCAAGTTACCATTAAACTAATTCAAACATTTTTTAGAAAATCTATGGCTTAATAAATTAAGTCTGTACATAGTTCAACTTGTTAATTTATGTTCAAGAATGAATTTAATTGTTCAATAAGTACTTTTTTTAAAAAATTGATATCAAGCTCAACAACAACTTGTATATTAAGGGTTTGTTTGGGGGCAAATGCAGCAGCTGAAGAAAAAGTTGTTGTTTAAAAAACTGCGGTGGCTATTGCAATTTTTTTTTTTTTAAAGTCAGACCACAGCTTTCTAGTAGTCACCACAAGTAGTCAGGTCTGGTGGGAAAACGCAGCTACAGCTTTTTCAACTGCGGCTTTTTGAGAACGCAAGCAAAACGCAATTTTATCAAACATAAAAAATTGCAGTGCGACACCACATTGTCACCGCAACGCCACCCCAAACACACCCTAAATAAGCAAAATTTGGTTCATAAAGCCTTTTAATTATTTATGTAATAGAAATATATTATAAATTTATTCATTAATCTTGGCTACATTCTTTAGTCCCATCCATGAAACCCTTGAGACCTCAAAAATAAAGAAGAAAGTAACAACAGCGTGTTGGTGAGAAGGAATAGATGGAGTAGTAAAAAAGCAAGATCGCTTGATTAATTTAAATAAGTCAAAGTGTTTGCTTGTTCATGAAAAGACAGGTACTAAATCCACTTTTTAGCTCGTTTATTGGTTTGCTTGAGCACTTTCTTGATTAATTTAAATAAGTCAAGTGTAAGCTATGTTCAAGTATAAAGAGGTTTACAAAAGTCAAGTGCAATTATAAGTATGAAAGGTAGGCTCAAGCTGGAGCCAAAGATGTTGTATTACTAAGACTGATACATGATATTCTCAACTCTAGTCAACTATAGCCATACAAGGAAACTTAAAAAATACCTAAAAGTTCTACTAATTTTAATAAAAGTATACAAATCCAATTAGGCATAGTAATTAGGCTAGATGGTAAAATTATTAGCATCAAATATGAAATTAGCTAGACTCAACTAAAACTTGAGTATGGCTCAACTGAATAAGAAAACTAATAAACAAAGTTAAACAAGATTTTAAAACTTGGTTTGAACTCAAAAAAAAAAAAAAAGAGCTTGACCAATACAATACCTGGATTCTATTCGATTCGTTTCAGCTCTACAAACGAGGCATATAGAGAAACATGAAGTTTTATGCAAAATTAAACAAGAAAACTTTTTAGTAAAAAAGAAATACCTCCTTGACTGTTTCAGCAAGTTCCATCATCGTGAATTCACCTACATAAGGGAAATAATTAGTTACTGTTACTCCAATTGAAATCAGGATGGCCTCAGCACTAGGTTTAGAAGCAAGTACAATTTAAGCAACTTTATCTCGTTGCAACTTAAAAATTTTGGATCAACTTGAAATCAAATGAAGCTAACCTTGATTTCAGCTCGAGAAGAGCTTGTATAATGAATTAGGCAATGAAACATGATATCATAAATTTACATGTACAGGTCCTAACTTTATCTAAAATCTATTATTGCAAAGAGCACCCACCATGACTTGCGTTATTTTATGTAATAATACTATATTGAACAAATCACCAATTTTTATTGGGTTGTTAGGTAGCTATCCAAACATAACATTCTTAACAGAATCTGATATAACGACTACTCACGTAATGAATAGAACATGTATTTTTAATAAACGACCTCAATACATTAATATAGTAATAAAAAAGGGCATTTTTACATACATAGTACACAATTCTTATGTATTTACTTATCTCACACCTAAACTTTCACATTTACGCACATAGCACTTAAATCTTTAATATCACATAAAAAGAACACTATTAGCACCTTTTAAAAGTGAAATCCACCTTTTCATGCATATCTTTAAGGAACCAGAGTGCCATACATAAGAATTACAAAAATTGTGTGCTATTTAACAAAAAGGACTTTTTGATGTATCATAACCTTAGTTTAACTTATAAACATTAGAATTTTTTTAGAATTATTTTGTTTAAATATCTTGTTAACAAAAAATTAGTCTTCAAAATTTTTTGACCCAATAAATTTTTTTTTATTTAAAATATATGTAATTTACATAATTCAAACCATCATATACTCCACCCACACAAAAGTATTAAATTAAGACAATGAAATTTTAAGAAAGTATTATTCATGAATATTTTATTATGGATGTGATACATGTAACAAATGCATTTTCTTGTCCTCACCCAGCCAATGGTTTCTCTTCCAAGGAATAGACTAATTAGTCCTCTCAAAATTATATTTTAATGTTATCACCATCGAATACAAAATCAAAATTATATATTTTCTTTAACATCATTAAAATTAATTATATTTTGATTTTACCATGTTCAAATGTAAAATCAGAATCATAATTCTCTTCAACATCATTAAAACTAGTAGCATGCACAATTTCAAAAAATTTTAAGATCTTTTGTTTATCAATTGAATACATTAAATTTATTTATGATTAATTTCATTGCAATTTATAGGTGCAGATGCTTTCAGAAAACATATGGATTTTATTGATGTGAACGATTTTAGTTGGTGAAATACATGAGCAAATTTAGACTTTTAACGTGCTTGAAATATGACTCAGTCAATACAAATATTGATAAAACTCAATTCACATCTAATAATTATTCTGTATATTATACAATCAATGACAAAACCATGTGTAGGAAATTTATATAAAAAAGCCGCATACAGAAACAAAATTTGATATATAGATAAAATTTGAATTGAGTCTGTTAACTTTCAAGGGCGACTCCTGAATAAACAAAATTTCTTTTCAAGTCGATAAAAATTTGAACAAATATCTACTGACTTTCAAAAGTATTTAATCGATTTTAATCAGAAAATAAACATCATCTTCTTAAAGTTAATGAGAATTGATCATGTAGTTATGTTTAGCACAACTACCTGGGTTTCCGATATTTATGGGGCCAGTATTGTCTCCTTCCATCAAACGTATGAGACCATCAACCTTGACATTAGCATCATGGAGCAACTTTACATGAGTTTACCATAAGAGCAACACAACAAATGAAATACAGCAAATATGGCACATACCATATCAGATACATAGCAGAAGCTCCGAGTTTGAGTCCCAGGAGCTTGAACTGTTAAAGATTCTCCCCTAAAAAAATATTATATCACAGTATTAATAAAAAAGGATGAAATGAGTTCCAATGAAAAAAACAATGAAGCAAGAAGATAGGCAGTACCGGATTGCTTGAGCTATAAAATTGCTAACAACACGACCATCATCAATATTCATACGAGGTCCATATGTGTTGAATATTCTGGCAATTCGAATTTCTATTACAGAATAAACAATAAAAGAAAAATAAGTTCAACTATAAGCTACTGTACTACATCAAAGCAGGAAGGAAAAAAAAAACTATAGTTTGTAAAAGATGAAAGTAAACAAAGCGGCTACAACATTCAAATGAAGTCTTTACCTAAGCCATGTTGCCTATGATAATCAAACATAAGAGTCTCTGCCACGCGTTTACCCTCATCATAACAACTCCTCACACCTAGAAATAGAAAAGAAGATGTAAAAGCAAAAAATACAATATTTGAAAGAACTAGCAACACGGAATAAGAATGTGAGTTATATAAATTAGAAAAAGGAACCCAAAAAAATTAAAATTACCACAATGAAAATCTAATTTTACAAATCGGTACAGAATGAAATAACATTCAAGTGAATCGTTGATATGTTACACTCGTACACTTAATGCTAGGCAAAGGGGTTTATTGTAGCTCTTGGCTATTTGTAGTTCACTGTTGATTTATTTATGGTATTTAGCTCTAGTAGGCTTTCCTGGACTTTTGTACTTCGAGGGGCCTTTGTTTCAGGGATGAATTTGCCGGACTTGGGTATCTTTTGTTTTGGAAGTGGAACAAATACAATAATCTCGCGCTTAAACTTCTCTTACAGGAGCCTTCTATTCAGCTTTAATAGCACAATTTGAGCAGCTTTGGTTGGTAAACGGGTTTTGCAGGATATTTCTGTTTGCAGCAATCAAAATCTCAGGATTGCCGGATTTGGCACAGTGGCCTTCGATTTCAATCCCCAACGGCAGGAAATTTGAGTTTTCTATTTTTTTTGGTAGTAAGAAGAAATTCAAGGTGTTGCGACAGTACCTAGCCTAAAGGCAAATTTTCCTTTTGTATGCCTAACAACAATTTAATCTTTTAATATTATTATTATTGGGTCTAAATATGCTTACTATATTTAGAGTTGAGGTATCCATGAAGATTGAGTTATGAGTGTTAGGTTTAAGGTTTGAGAGAGCCTTCCTACCTTTCGAATTGTAGGTGCTTATCTTTTGTATTTTTGTTGAGTTGTATGGAATATTGAAGAAAATAGTTTTTGCCCTCATTTATGTAGAAAACCGTGTCAATTTTGAGATTGAATCGTGTTAAATTGATATCAGAGCTCAAGATTCTGGGAAACGGATCACAAAAGAAAGGATCAATCGAGATAAAAGCTGAAGCAAACAAAGATCCCAAAAGGGATCGATCGATAGGAAGCAAACGAAAGGATCAATCGACTCAACTGAGATTCAAAACTCGCTCTGGACATTCGGCATGCCCTCATGCTCGAATCTCCTGCAGAAGAACAATACAGTCGTGACTAAGCTAGTTGTGCGCGTCCATCTCGCCTTCCTCTGTTGCACACAACAACGGTGGGACCGCATTCCGTGTCGCCTACCTTTGTTGCACAAAGCAACGACGGGATCACGTGTTGTCTTGCCTTCCTCTGTCGCACACAGCAACGACAAGATCAGGTGTCACCTTCATGAACGAACCTTGTAATACAATCATGATTGGAGGCTTGTCGCCCTCGTGACCGAACCTTGCAATGCAATCACAATCAGGGCTTGGATTAATGTGATCTAGGGGACACTGACTTGAGGTACAGTTGAGATAATAGCTAGTTGAGAAGAGATGATGGAATTTCAGGATATAAAAATTTTGCCTTTGATATTGAAAATTTGTTTGAAAGAGATGGTAGCCAAGAAAGTAGATGATTTGAAGAAGAAATTAAAGGAAGAAATCAGCCAAATCAGATCGGGATGGAAGAAATATTCGCCACCATAGAGGTTGTGTTTTCTTCTATGGAGAGCCAAATGGAGGTATGATTTAAGAGCTTGGGGGAAATTCAAGAAATGATAAAAAGAGAAATTGAGATGTAATCCAAGACCGCGAAGAAAATAAGAAAGAAAACATCTACCATCACGAAACTCCTCCCAGGGCTTTGATTGGGGGTGGATTGGTGACTTTTGATGGAAGCGGTTGGGCCAAAACATAGATAAGAAATTATGCAAGGGGTAAGGAGAGCGCCAAGAAGAAAATATATAAGCTGAGAGGAGATATGACTACGATCGAATGAGTGAGTTCTACCCTCGAGACGCGACGAAAAACAGCAGAGGGAGAAGAAGTTGGTGGAGATGTGTTGACCTCATTTTTGCGAGGTATTTTCTTCTTCTCCTTAAGAGCCTAGGATCTAGCTCTAGGAGTTTCTATTGACCATCTTGGAAAACTAGAATTGAGACCCACCCTTTTAGAAATTCTAACCACTTCTTTTTTTCCTTTGATGTCTAGCATTTAGGGCACAAGACCATCGTCTTATGAACGAGCGGTTATGGGCTATTTTGTGAACACTCAAATGAAAAGTTCTCAATAGGACTTCAAGCCTTAGGAAAACATTCGTCACGACCTTTTCGTCACATACACACACAAAATGCACAAAATTCAATGAATTGCACGAAATCGGACTTCAATTAAACCTAAAGGACGGGTGAAAATGTGAACTTCTCCGGATGACCTCCGACGATAAAATGGACTAAGCCAACGCGTCCGGGATACCAATTTTGGTAGGAAATGACACCCATATTGCCATATTTTCGATACAAGAAAATTGACACGCAAATCGATGAATTCATCAAAATGACCTCTGACGGCAAAACAGACAGTGCCGGTGCGTCTGGAATGTCGATTTTGCCTAGGGAAGACACCTATTTTGCTTGGGCGCCGCACATGGATAAATCGCATGAAATTTTATATATATATATAATTCTTTTTTCCCCCTAAATCCCCAAATCCCCAAATCCCCAAATCCATCGCACCCGATCCCGCCTCCCTCACGCT